GAAAAATAAAAAATAAAAAAAAATGGAAAAATCCCCACCGTGCTTGTTTTGTAATATATGCGGCTATTTCCCTTCCAGCCTTGCTTCACTTAGTTATTTTCCCTCTTCAGGAAGTTGAGAGTGAGGGCAGGTGTCTTCTTTATGTCTGCTGTACCCCTCTTTCCCTGGAACATGAGGTGGGGGGTGGCGGAGATGGGAAGGAAGTTTGAGAGCTGGCACAGGCTTCTGGAAGCATTTCTGTGGCAGCAATCACTTGGGAGAAGAGACCCATCGCCAGTTACAGGCAGGTATTACCCATACTTCACCAAACTGCTCTATTCTCAGAAACCCTCACCACCGGTTTCATCGTCCAGCTGCGTAGTGCTGGTGATGCAACAGTTTATTATTTCAGACATCCCAGGTTGGTCTCCCTGGGTGTGAAAGTGGCTTTTTACCAATTTAGAGTAACGAGACAATACAGGAAGTTTTTATATCATGTCAAAATATGCATGGTATATTATGTGATATGCATTACATGTGTCTGAACATATGTGTCTGAATAAGTGAGGAAGAGAGGATGAAGCATTGGCCTGATTCTCTCTGGGCTACTGCTTGCTGAAGCCCTTATGGTGAGATACATATGCTTTTGCAGGGCAGAATTGGAGGTGAGTAAGCAAGATTGGGGCTATCCGCTTGAAACAACATAGCACATGTCAGTTCAAGAAAGCGTTCACAAAAAAGGTGCTTTGAGTGTTTTGAATTAGGAACTAAATTACCTCTAGGATTAAAGAATCGGGAGATGGATAGCCCCAGGTACTCATCTGATGAAGCAGAGGAGGCCTGATGGAGCTCATAGTGTAGGGAAACACCTCTGGTTCCCGCTGACAGGACACTTTCTCCAAGTGCTATTAATTAGAGTGTGTTATTAGCTAACAGCAGGAAGCAGACATCCTTTGAGTGTTAACTAAAGTGCAGTCACCATTTAGCTAGTGGGGCTTGCTCAGTCTTTAAAACTGTCTTAATCATTAGTGAATTAGTTAAACTATAACATCATGAGATAAAAATAATCACTGGTGTCACTTGGGAACGAGTTTGAACTGGTCGTCAGATGTTCTCGGTACAGTCTGTGCTGACGGTGTTGATTGCCGGGTGACAATCGACCCAGCTCAGCCACTTTCAACCTGATGGCCATGGTTGTACAGAATCTTGAGATCAGTGTGATGGGGAAGTAGTGGGGAGGGGAAGGGGCCGCTGCTAGGGATTCATCTTCCATTATCAGTCTCCCAGAATTTTTCAACATATAGTTGTCCACATGTATTTCTGATTTTTTTAGTTTGTTATTAATTATTAACGACTCTACCTTGGGAGTTTTGAAACGATGGTGAAATGAACCTTGGTAAATCTGGAAAGATTGCCTCAATATTATGAAGAGTAGCTTATGATTCCTTTTACGGGTGTCTATTTTTCATTTTAATTTTAAAAATTGTGTGTAGTATACACAAGTGTGTGTTAAACAGATAGTGTGTGTGTGTGTGTGTGTGTGTGTGTGTGTGTGTGTGTGGTAGATACCAAGACAGAATGTGTGTATGTATATGTGTATGTAAGGCAGACAGAATTGTGTGTGTGTGTGAGTGAGTGTGTGTGCATGCTCATGTGACAGCATGCATGTAGAGGTCAGAGAACAACTGTGTGGAGGGGCTTCTCTCCTTCCACCTTTACATGGGTCCCAGGGATCAAACTCAGTGCACCAGGGTTGTGTATCAATCACTTTTCCCTCTGAGCTGTCTCACCAAACTCATCTCAGGATCTAAATTACTTCTAGGATTAAAAAATCGGGAGATAGATAGCCCCAGGTACTCATCTGATGAAGCAGAGGCGGCCTGATGGAGCTCATAGTGTAGGGAAACACCTCTGGTTCCCGCTGACAGGACACTGTTGGTTGGCATGTTTTTCTTCTGCCACTAATAATCCAGACTTAGCAAAGTACACAAAGCTTAATTGGATTGGTTTTGACTGATGCTTGTGATGGCTGAACACAAGTAGGAAATGTAAAACATGTCTTAAGGGACACGAGAAGACAATTTTATCATAACTTTAAAAAAATTCTAAGCTAGGCAGAGGTAGTACATGCCTTTAATACCATTTTTTTTTTTTTTTTTAGGAGGCAGAGGTATTCTTGGTTGTTTTTACTCTTTGGGGACCTTGTCACCCAGCTCCTAAATAAATACATGGAGACTTATTCTTACTTATGAATACCCAGCCTTAGCTTGACTTGTTTCTAGCCAAACTTTTAACTTAAATTATCCTGTTTCTCTTTAATTTTGCCTCTGGCCTTTTTACCTTCCTTTAGTCTATATGTCTTTCTTTCCTTCTTACTCGGTGGTTGGCTGGGTGGCTGGGTGGCTGGGTGGCTGAATGGCTGGCCCTGGAGTCCTCTCCTTCTCCTTTTCTCTCAAGCCTAGATTTCTCCTCCTATTTATTCTCTCTGTCTGGCAGCCCTGCCTATCCCTCTCTCCTGCTTAGCTATTGGACATTTAGCTCTTTGTTAGACCAATCAAATGTTTTAGACAGGCAAAGTAACACAGCTTCACAGAGTTAAACAAATGCAACATAAAAGAGTGCAACACGTCTTTGTACCCTTAAACAATTGTTCCCCAGTATAAACAAAAGTAAATATCATAAACTAATATTCCACTCCACCAAAGCAGGTGGATCCCTGTGAGTTCAAGACCAGCCTGGTCTACACAGTGAGATCTAGGACAGTCAGGGCTACACAACACAGTGAAACCCTGTCTCAGCAAACCAAAAAGAAGATTCTAAATTTTACATACAAAAGCATGCCATACTTTGTGGTATATAAATCTGTGTTGAGACGAATCTGTATTGAAATAACTACCTCAAGACAAGGGACAGCACTATCGCCCTCCAATTTTCTCACACACTTCCTCTACCTCACCGCATGCATTGCTCTGAATCAAGTCCTCTGCTGTCTTTTCTAGATGTCATACCAGTGGAATCTGATTGTGTAGTCTTTTGAGTCTGGCTTCTGTCATTTCACCTAGTACATTTAAGATTTATCCATGACGTTGCATGAATCACTTGTGGGCTTTTTTCAATTGTGGAGTGGCATTCCAATATTTGTATGTTTCCATTTTTATGTGATGGTCTTTCCTTTATTCTGAATTCCTTTTGTATTCATATATACTTTATAGAAAATAATGGGCTTCTTCAGGATGTATTTACACATGTATATAACATACATACGTAAGTCATATGCTACCTCGTGTGATGGCTTGGTTGTGAATGGCTGCCATAGGCCCATATATTTGAATGCTTGGTCCCTAGTTGGTGGAACTACTTTGGAAACATTTAGGTGTGGCCTTGTTGGAGGAGGTGTGTCACTGGGGGTGGGCCCTTTTTATCTCTTTTTTTTTTTAATCCCATTTATGTTCCCTTGGTTCTATTCCTTCGCAGCAATAGAACAGTAACTAAGATACCCAACAATACTATCTCTTGTTCGCCTCTCCTTTCTGGTTCCCTTCTGCTTTTACTTCCTTCCTTCCTTCATATCTCTCTCTCTCTCTCTCTCTCTCTCTCTCTCTCTCTCTCTCTCTGTGTGTGTGTGTGTGTGTGTGTGTGTGCTTATTCTGTGTACCAGAGGAAATTTGTCCTATTTGCTTTCATGAGTCTGCTTTATCTCATTTAATAAGATGATCCTGGTTTCATCTATTTTCTTGCAAATGATACATGTTCATTCACCTTTATAGTGGAAATAATACTCAACTGCATATGCCTGTGTGTGTCACTTTTTTCTATTCATTTTTTAATGGACATCCAGGTATTTCCATATCTTGGCTGTTGTGAGTACTCTTGTATAGAATGGATATCTCTGTATGTCTGTGATAGTCTATCTTAGATTCCATCTTGTCTATACAAGATGGGATAACTTGTCTATAAAAGCAGGATTACTGGATCATATGATAGTCCTACTTTTGAATTTTTGACAAATACTTATTGTCACATTGCTTACATTAGTGCACATTCTCACAAGAGGAGTATGTCCCCACAGCCCCTTCTTCTTCTTCTCCTTCTCCTTCTCCTTCTTCTTCTTGAAACAGAATTTCTCTGTGTAACTGCCATGGCTGTCCTGGAACTAGCTCTGTAGACCTGGCTGGCTTTGAACTTACAGAGATCTGCCTGTCTCTGCCTCCCAAGTGCTGGGATTAAAGGTGTACACCACCACACATAAATAAATTTGTATTTATTCTTTTTAATGCTTAGTTTACAAGTCGGAGGCCAGTTTGGTTTACATAGTAATTCCAGATGACAGAACACTAGACAAACCCTTTCTTAAACAAACAGGGAGGGATCAGGGAGAGGGAAGGAGGGAGGAAAAGAAAGAAGACAGGTTCAGAGAGGAGAAAAAGAAAAGTGTTTATGTCTCAGGAGTTTTTTTTTTTCAGGTGCTTTTCACTGGGTGGATTTGGTGGCACATGTAACCCTGGTACTTGAGACATAGGGGCAGGAATTCAAGAGCCCAACCTGTGCTGCAAGAGACCTTGACCAAATGGAGAAAAAAAAAGCAACATACACCCTCCCACCCACCCACCCACCCACCCACCTACCCACCCATCCATCCATGTATGCATGAACGATTGATTTCCTGCTCTATTTTGTGGGGAAAACAGCTTGGGGACATTTTAGTTGCACATGTTCCTCCCTAACTGTAATTAGGGACAGTATTTCCAGTCTATGCAGGGGAGGGCACTTAGAATGTCCTGGGCACTTTGGTAACACACAACAGATGCCAGTGTATATGATCTACAATAGGATAGTTTATATAGAACCTATACATGGTAAAGACAGAGAAAAAAGCCAGGGAACCCAGCTGGTCTGAAAGTCAACTTCTTTTGAGACGATATATATATATATATATATATATATATATATATATATATATGTGTATATATATATATATATTTATTTATTAGAGTTTGAATACAATATACAAAATGCCTGAATCCTGATTAAATGTGTCTAGCACCTCAGACGAAAACACTAGTGGGTAATTAACAAACAAACAAACAAATGAAGTATAACACAAAGGACTGAAGTAGTGAGTAACTAATACGTTTAGATGCTAACATTAACTGATAATCTAGGCCCTGCAGTGAGGAGAAGAAACTTGAGTGTTTAATTGCAAAATACATCAAACATAGAAACTAAAATGTGTTCTCTTAATATAGGAAGATTTTGGTAACTATAAAAATAGTTTTTCATCACAAATATAGTTTAACATACTAAGCTATTCTATATAAAAATACAGAAAACTAATTTCAAGCAAAACACAAACTCTAATACACATGTGAGAAGCTGAGGAAGGGTAACAAAAATGTCAGTTTGAACATGTGTCTTGCTGACACTAGTCATATGTCCTTTAGCATCAGATCTGTGTCTGAGAAAATCCTAATTTATCATGTTTAAATATATAGATATCGTTGTAACTTCAGGTTTGTTAGTCACATGTTTTAAAAAGCAATGATGCAATATGTCAAAAGCACTTCAATTTCAGTTTTAAAAAACGAACAGGGCTATGAAGATTATAACACACTTTCCCTGCATCAAAGTAACAGCCCCTTTGTTTACTTAACTAGGAGTTTTACCATCAAAAAATAGATCTTTAAGTTAAAAAAATATTTTCTTTGGTAATATTTGTTGACATTTCCGATCAGAGTCTGTACAAATTCTTCAAAAGGTATAAAACAAAAGTATTGGGTGTAGACATACACTCATGAAGGAATCGGTTAAGGGGGAACACGTGGTTCCCTTCTGCTCTGTTCTTGGGCTTTAGACCGGTCATCCTCAAGCAGTCTCTGAAGCCCCCAGGAATTCCATTTGTACAGCAGCTTTGGAGGGTGGGGCTGCACCTCTTTTCTTCCGGAATTCTGCGGCGATTTCCTCAAAAGACTTTCCTTTGGTCTCTGGAACTTTAAAAAACGTAAACAGGGTGAAGGCCAGGACGATCCCAGCGAAGAGGAAGAACACGTAAGGCCCGCAGAAGTCCTGCAATTAGAGCAAACAGCTGTGGTCAGCAGCTGTACAGCCTGCCTGATTGGGGGGCAGGGGGCGGAGGGGTGGCTCGCACAGTGTGGGCACTTACCGTGATGTATTGGAAGCAGAGAGCGACAATGAAATTGCAGAACCAGTTGCTGAAGGCAGCCAGTGCCAGAGCAGTGGGGCGGGGGCCTTGGCTGAAAAATTCAGCAACCATGAACCAAGGGATTGGACCTGGCCCAATCTCAAAAAAACTGACGAAGAGGAAAATGGCTGTCATGCTCACGTAACTCATCCAGGCAAATTTATCCTGAAGACAAAGACAAAGTCGTAAGTGGGACAGGTGGCTGTTGGCGCAGCCTCCTTGGGTTTAGCAGCTTCTGAGTTCTCTCAGACTGAGGTTAAGAGGTGGGCACAGGTGTCTTCCTCATGTGTTTGTTTTTCATCAAGTTCAAGCTGCTCTGGTTTGAAACAAGGTAGTTCAACCCAAATTTGGAGACATTGCCCAGCCACTCCCTAGCATTAGGGGCTTTTGGGTTTTGTTCCATAGTTAATCTTTCCCTATGATAGGCAAAAAGACCCAGGATCCTAAGGTCTTCCTACCAAGATGGCCAGACAAGGTTTGACTCCCTGTGAAGTGCAGGGTGAGGATGCTAGCATGGGAGGGATGTTCAGGTCCTTGCCAGCCACCCATGCAGCAATACTGCTGCCCTGGCTAGTAACTGGCATCCTGGTACTTATGTCTCTAACACCAATAACATAGCTCCCCTAGCTTTACATTTTTCTTCTCCCTTCTTACATGAGTGAGTCTCAAGCCCTTCTTATGCACAGACTTCTTTAGCCTGGAGGCTAGAGATGTTTGCTTGTGGTAAAAAATGCCAGTCCAGGTACCACACTCACCAGCAACACAAGTCCCAAGGACATGATAATGGCACAGAAAAACATCCCGATCATTCCAGCTAGAAACAGGGACCGCCGCCCGGCCTTCTCCACCAGCAGTACCTAGGGAAGTTTGCACAGCATCTCAGTATTCTGCGCCGAACAAAGCTGTCTATACTTACACACTTACCACTGAGCAACTTGTTTTAATGTATATAGTGAGGTGAAGACAATGCTGTGACCCCATTTTACAGATGTGCAGTAGAGATGAGAAGTGTGAGAAGGTGGTGCTGGTCTCAGTAAAGAGTGGTTATTAAATATTATATCAGTTTGACCATATTGACCTGAGAAGTTCAGCCTTGAAGCCTAGAGTGTTCCCAACACCCTAGAGCTATCCCTTTGAGTACAGGAGTGAGAGGCTGTGCATCTGGTGCCTCCTAAGAGTATCTCTACAATGAAATTGTGAAAGGTCTACATTTATCAGGGCTGGGGTGGCAGCTCTGTAACAGATTACTTGCCCCATATGCATGGGCCCTGGGGTTCAGTTCCAAACATCAAAAAAGAAAGGAAAAGAACTGTTGTGCTAAAAAGAAAATGGTGACCCCAGTTTCTCACCCACTGATTTAATCGTTTCAAGAGCTCAGATGCCATAGTGCAACTGTTCAGGTGTCAGCCACTCTTATCCAACTTCAGTGCTTACTGAAGTCAAGTTATGACTGCTTCCCTGCCCATGAGTGAACCTGATCATTGTGCAGTGAGTTTGATCACTGTACCAAAGCAATGAGCTCTGTATTTCTCTGGTGTGCTCACAAGTACCTGTTGTGAGAGGGAATTGTGTATTTGGAAAGAGAGGACACCATGACAAGACATTAGAGTGTTTCTTCATCCTGACTGAGGAGACCTGTCATCATTCTTTGGGTAAGACTATTAACTAAGATCAGCATTTTTGACTAGAGTCTGACCCATGGGATCTTGTCAACACTGGCTGCGCGCACACACTACACTACACTACACACACACACACACACACACACACACACACACACACACACACCATAGCTTCCCATCTTGGTAGATCTTTGCTCATAAATCTAAGTAAGTCAATGTAAACCAACACTCATAGCATACTGAGCTCTGGGTCTGCAGACATCTGCACAGCATTTGTCTTCCCCTGCAGCAAAAGCCCTTTTTATCTCAGAGGTATACTCAGATCAGTGGTTTGGGTCACTCTAGAAAGAACAACAAGCCAAGAGCCTACATTTCATAACTAAGAAGTAAGCAGGAAAAACATTCTTATGTTTCTTAAATGGGTGGTATTTTATGTCCTTGTATGTCTGTGTACCACATTCCTACAGTGCTTGTAGGTGTAAGAGGTGGGGGGCATCAAATCCCCTGGAACTGGAGTTAAAGATGGTTGTGAACAGCACCATGTGGGTGCTGGGAATTGAACTTGGGCCCTCTGGAAGACCATCCAGTGCTTTTAACTATTGGGCCATCTCTCCAGCCCACATATTTTATGAGCATTTCTCCTCCAGCTTGGTCCCACAGTCCAGTCAGCCCCAAATAACACACAGAGACACTGTATTAGTTATGAAACTGTTGGCTGGTTACTAGTGTTTCTTATTGGCTAGTTCTGTCTAAATTATGAATCCACAATTATTAATATATGTATTTCTACATGGTCTTTTCTTACTGAGAATGCCAGACTCTCATATTCTCTCCTCCTGAGATCATATCAAGACTCTGCCCTACATTTCCCAGAATCCTCCATCTCTCATACTCCCACCTATCTTGCTTCCCTATTGGCCAACAGTGTTTTATTCATTAGCCAATAAGAGAAATATATTTACAGAATGACATCTTCCATCACTTATGCATGGTGTTGACATAGTATTATCAGGGTATGTGAAAACAGGAATATTTCTGCAGTAATATCTGTTTCTTCTGTTTATGAGAATGTTATCTGGATAGCAAAAGCTAAAAATGTGTGTGTTGAAAATTGAATTGCATTCTCCCCTGGAAACTAGAATGGCCAAGCCCTGGGACATCTGCTGGACCACACCCTTCATCTCTGCTCCAGTCTATGCATCCCTCAGGTCCTTGGTGCCTAGTGAGAGCTGGGCAGTCACTGCTTTGCTCCTAAAGCCAGCCTGCCACTCAGTCCCCCATCTTTTTTCCTGTTTTGCTCTTTTCTCAAGATTGTAAGCACCCTTCCATCACCTCATCACCATGGATAGAAGCATAGAGCCTGGACATCTTTCTGGACTAACTGGGAAAGTCCCTGCTTCTTAAGTACTTGGGAAAAATGAGAAAAAAAATGGGCCAGATGCCTGGTTAGTGAAACAAAACCAGGAGTGCCGATTCTTGCCACACACATTATTGTGGACATTGTTTTCAAGTTCAGGGACACAAAACTTATCTCCTTTGCTGTGTTATTGATATGGTTTGGTTTGCTACAGTGTCTTGCTATGGAGCCTTGCTGTACTTGGACTTGAGATCCATCTGCCTCTGCCCCCTGAATGCTAGAATCACAGGTGTCTACCACCACTATTTGGAAAACTTAAATAAAAAAAAATTCAACACTCTCTTTAATTGTGGAGTTCTAATGAACTGATTTTCTTTGTGTGTCAGTCACCTACTTTAAGACTTTTGTGAAAGAAAAGAATAAGCTCAAAATGTACCATATTTGAAATGATTAAGATGCATTATATTTATAATAATTATCAATTAAATTGCTCCTCCATTCAAATGAGGCTGGGTACAGAGGGAAGAAATAAAATTCTGCACAATTCTTTCTTTGTTTTTGTTTTTGTTTTTTTTTCCCCTCAGAATTTGGGTTACCCAATCTTAACAACTTGATACTTCATACAGCAAATGCTATCTTAAACAATATGTTTTAATAATAATGTCCACTTTATAAAGCATACCATTTCCAGGAAGCAAAGAGGACAAGAGTCTCTCAGATTGTGCCCCAGTAATGGCCTTTATTGATGGATACAGCCTTTGGCTTGAATGGGGCTGTCTGTAAAGTGGGATCTGTGGGAGCATAGCATTCTTTAGTTTGCACTCTTTTTGCTTTGCGAGGTCCAGCAAGGTGTAATGAGCTCTGGGGAGCCGGGCTGTAATTTATTGACCCAAGGTAATAGTTAAAGTCCATGTACAGAGAATGAAAAAAACAAGTGACTGAAATAAGCTGAGTATAGTATTATGACCAACATTAAAACTCAAAAGCATTTTCATAAGCATTTTGTATTCAAAGGTAAAAATCAGTCAAGTTAGTCTCATTTTGAGCGACTTTCATTAGTTGAGAAGTCTTTGTACTCATTATTATGTCAAAATATCAGGCTTTAAGAATGTAAATAACTTCTTTCTTTTGTTGGAATTGGGAAAACAATTTCACATTTTATAACGTTTCTACACAGACTCACATTACACATTACACATACTTGAATGCATCGCCAGGAGCCATTTACTTGTGAACTGCCTGGAAGTTCTGCCCAGTGATCTCACATCATAGGAATTTGCCAGTTGGTTTAATTCTGTTTTAAACTTAGTTATCTATTAGCTTTCTAAATGTTCTTCCCAAGATACCAGGATGAAATATCCCTATCAGACAGGGAGAGGCGAGGGAATGTGCCCAATGTTGCTATAATGGTGTGCTGTCAGCCGGCCCCTCGGTGTTCAAATAGAGAAGAATTAGAACCCAGAATCTCATAGAGAGAGAAAGTCTTGCCAGTGAGTTATTAATTCACCAAATGAGTGAATGACTGGCGCCCTCCACAGCAGGCGAGCCGGTGACTCACACCTCAGCCAGCCTCATCTGAGAGCCGTGGCTGGTGTGTACCCAGGACTTTCCCCACTACTTGCTTATCTGTGCACACACAGTGCATGTGGACAGAGGTGCTGATTCTTTTCATCATGAGCCACCACCCCACTTCGACTCCAGGGCCAAGGAATGAGCAGAGTGCCCATCTAGCTGGTGACTTACAGAGACAGCAGTGAAGATCAAGTTGACGGCACCAACGCCAATGGTGGCATACACAGGCTGGCTGACACCAGCTGTCTGGAAAATGCTGGTTGAGTAGTAAAATATCTGCAAAATAAGCACAGGCCAGCTTTAAAGAGAGCCTCCTACTGAGGTACCAAAAGCAAGACTTATGGCTGCTTACTCTTAGCTTTTGTGTATCCCCTAAAGTTTACCCCGCCCTCTCCTCAGACATGTCTTCCTCCAATGTTTCAAGCTTCTGGTTGCTTAGTTGAAAACCCCATTACATCACTTCCTTTGTTAAATTTCTAAACTTTTTGTTAATGTGTAACCTTGAAACAGGTACACACAAGTGAACAGCTCCATTAAAAACTGATTATAACCATGGAAAGAGAACTCAGGTCAAGGACCAACTCATTTCTGACTCTGCAGAACCCTCTATGCACTATCCTAAAGGAATCATTCACCTAACATCTGACATGATAGATGAATTGTGCCAAGTCCTGTACTTGATGTAAATATATCATAATACTCTCTTGTTCTGGATTATGCTAAACATTGTCTCCATGAGAATCCTTGTTGCCTTGTGCATCTGGGCATTTCATTGTTACTACTATGTGGCATTCTGATATACCTGCATTACTACACTTTAGTTACCCATGCCACTGATGACTGTGCTTTAAGGGTGTTTATCAATAGTGATGTTTGGTATATACTTCTTTGAGTTTTGTTTTTTGGAACAGCATCTCTCTATGTAGCCCTGATTGACTTGGAACTCTCTACATAGACAAGGCTGGCCTCAGACTCATGGAGATTCGCCTGCCTCTGCCTCCTAGGGACTGGGATTATAGGTGCATGTTACCACTCCTGGCAGGAATACACTCTTAGCAGTTATTTGGGTGTGGAGTATGTGAGTATTCATACCCAGAATTTGAATCCCTGAATCATAGTGTTTGTTAGAAATTCAGCTTTGGTATAGATGCTGCCTAATAGTTACTAAAAAGTAATAAAATTTTGTGTTTTCACCAGTGTGTATAACAATTTTAATTGCTATTTCATATGTCTATCTATCATCTCTCTATGTGTATAAAGTTCTAGTTGCTATTGCTATTGCATCTATCTATCTATCATCTATCTATCTATCTATCTATCTATCTATCTATCTATCTATCTATCTATCCAACCATCTGAAGTAATCCATCCAAATGGAACTGTAGACTCCTTTCTGTGTAAATCACTAGGAATCAGATTTCATACTCCAAGAACCTTCTAATTTAGATTTGGGGGTTGGAAGTAGTTTAAATAGCATTGTCTTCTCACCGTGCAGTCATTACAGCTTTTGCCTTTCACTTCTACCCTGCCTCCCTTATCTGGTATATGCATGTGCACATGTTTGTGTTTATGCATGGGTGCACTTGAGTGTGCAAGCGTGTGTGTGGTAGGAGGAGGTTAATGTTGGGTGTCTTCCTCAGTCACTCTCCATCTTATTTTTTGCGACAGGGTCTCTCGGAATATGAAGTTCACTGATTGGCTAGGCTAGCATGCTAATGATCAGGAATTAGCATATCTCCGAAGCCTAATCTCTGGGGTGCAGATATACAGGTGCCTTGTATATGGATTCTAGGGCTCTGAATCCAGATCTTTACATTCAGTGATCTGACAGCCCCATTGCCTTCTTCTTAATAGATGCTAACATTTTAAAAATATTGAGCTAATTTTAGAGAGACACTGAAGCAAATCAATGGAATCAATTACTACCAAACAATATTGTAACAATACTTGATGTCAGTGTTTGCAAATGTCTTTTAGTGACCGAAGCTGAAGCCTCTTTTCTCTCTGTCTCAGTTCCCTTTACTAGCTTAACATTAGGAGTTCTTCAGCTTACCCCATTGATTCCAGAAAACTGCTGAGCCATGTGCAACATTAGCGCCACGATGATGGGCTGCCGATAGCTGGAATCTGTAAAGAGCTGAATCACGGAGACTTTCTGCTCAGTAGATGCCTCTTCCTTTTCCTTTTTCATTTCATTAATGTCTTTGGTGACATCATCAGTTCCTCTTAGTCTCTTCAAGCCTAATTGATTCCCCCAAACAGGTTGAAACAACCCAGATCAAATAAAAATGAGTATTTTTTTTTTTTCTGGTCACAAAGGCACTACGGATCTGCATGCCCCTTTCTTTGACCTAACAGCATAGGATTGACAATTCTTTATGCCATTTTGGTTAAATTAAAACTTGTTCTTTGATTAAACAAAGCAAAGCAAAGCAGAACAATTGACTTCATCTGGAGAGAGAGAAAAAGAGACAGAGAGAGAGCAGACAGATACAGAGAGACAGAGACAGAGAGAAAGAGAGAGAGAACTATGCTCCTCATCACAAAAGCACAGTTCTGAGGAGGGTGGATTGGGAGCCTCTGGTTAAGCCCAGTGGGCTACATGTGAGCTCCTGGAGTGGGCAAATCCACAGCACGCCAGGCATATCTGAGTAAAACAGAGCGCAGCAGCCATATTTAAGTTCAGTGTGTTCTTCTGAGCAATCGTTGGCTTCATTTACAAGCTCCCATGTTGATTTTATGAGTAGCCATTCACAATACTGTTTTGTATTAGCTAATAATTCCTCAATGATAGAAGCTGTCAGTTCCCTACACACTTACATTTCTTCGCTTTGACTTCTTCTTCCAGCTTTATATAAAGGTATCGGGGGCTTTCTGGACAGAAGAGTAGCAGGAGAGACTGTAGGAGAGCCGGCACAGCAGACAGGCCAAGCAGGATGTGCCAACGATCCTGATTTCCCAGAATAAAGCTGAGGCTAGCTATCTGAAAAGACAAGGGAGGGACATATTAGATGCACAGTACTTTGGGTCTGCTTTCTATGCTAACTCATGAGAAAATGCATTGGTTTTTTAAAATAGTGATCCTTGACTGTTAGTTAATGTTGGCATGAAGGGAAGGCTGTAATTGGTGAGTACCATTTTAATCAAATCAAGAACATTTTGTTAGTAGAAAACTCAGCTATGCTTATCTTCAATCACCCCAACTGGATGTTTATGCTGGAGATGAATCAACTCAACTTTAAAAACCACACTTGGTATCAAAAGCAAAACAAGTAGTATTCTTGGAAGCAACCAGATGTATTATATTGTTAGGTGTGGGAATGCTTGTCTGTAACAGTGGCCCTGGAAGAAGACAGAGACAAGCAGATTCCTGGAGCTCAATGGCCAGCCAGTCTACCCGAACAGCAAGCACAGTTTCATAGACTCAGAAACAAGGTGAAGAGTAACAGAGGAGGACACATGACATCAGCCTCTTGCCTCTACACACACTCACATTGTACACGTACATGTACGTTACACACACACACACACACACACACACACACACACACACACACACACGTATGTGTGTGTGAGAGAGAGGTGCATGACTTACAGCTTTGCTTTAAAATCCATTCTTAAGTTATGTAGAATTTAAATATTTCATAGATAGAACAATTACATAATGATAGCCAGCTTTATGACAACAATTACATAATGACAACCAGGTTTATGATATCTCTTGCGGTGGTTTACAGACTTCCTTTTAGATATCTCAAGTGTGGGATTCCAAAGATCCTTCAGAGGCCAGAGGATAGAAGGGAAAGAGAGAGCCAGCCAAAGAAGAGCTTTTGTGATAAGTGTTTGAATTTAAATTTCCAGATAATTTACTCAAAACAAAGAAAACTCAGGCAGTAAAAAAATCTAGAGTTGGTTATTTCTTGAAATTCAAATGTTAACTCTAGGATAGCATTGGGACTTTCACGTGTATTGCTAATCCTACTAACAGCTCTAAGTAGGATGTAAGGAGTGGAAATAATTCACCTCTGAGCTCTTTCTAAACTACCTCCTCTTTTACCACTGTTGGACACCCCCTTCCCTGCCCACGATAGTCTACAGCGAGAAGTGACAGCCGGGAGAGAGGAGAATGGGGTTAAAATAAGAGATGAGGAGATTTTACCTGACTAATGAGAATGCCTGTGACAATGGCCAGTTGGTGAAGAGTGCCCAGGGCCCCCCGGAGAGTGGTTGGAGCGATTTCACCAATATACATTGGAACCAGTCCTGAAATGAGCCCTGTGTGAGACATAAACATAGAAATGTTAATGCAACCTGGGATTTCAGTAACTATTATGTAGTTCACTTATGGTCAGTATCCTTACTGAAAGTCACTCCCCAGGTGTTTTGGAGGAGCTATTGTCCCCAACCATGGGCTCATGAGCACAGTTAATGCAGAAAACTTTTCTCCTCCTCCTTCGTTCTTGTTCTTACCCTTCCTCCTCCTTCCCTCTCCTCCCCCTTTCTCTTCTTCCTCTTTCTCTCTCCTCTTTCTCTCTCTCTTGGGTTTTCCAGACAGTGTTTCTCTGTGTATCACTGGCTGTCCTGAAAATCACCTTGAACTCAGGAGATATTATACTAAATGAAGATGTAGTTGGAAGTATTAATGGAAAGAAATGCCTAGTTATGTATCCTGTGGTTTCCATGGTCTTAGTATTTAGCTCATAGCATAATGGCTTATGTTGTCTTGAGAAAAGAGCCTAGGGATGCTTTAGTATTCATTCAATCTTATAGGATTAATGAAATTCAGGGCTGGAGAGATAGTTCAGTGGTTAAGAGCAATGGTTGTTCTTCCAGTGGACCTGGATTCAATTCCAAACATCCTCATGACAGTTCATAGCTGTCTGTAACTCCAGTTCTGGAGGATCTGACACACACAGACATATGTGCAGGTAAAACACTAATGCACATAAAATAAATAAATCTTTAAAAAAGGAACTCAGAACATCAAAGGAAAGCCAACTTCCTAAGAGAAGTGAGAAATGACTTATGCAGTATCAGTGGACTAGAATGCCACATGTAGGTTCCATGCCTAACACTCCACACCACATGGGGATACCTCAAGGTGTCTGATGGGTGGTAGTGAGGTACAGAAGAGGCAAAGGGTAAGTCAAGAATTCTTTCACAGCTGTCCCAGTAAGAATAACCTAGCTTCATTATTGCATCAAAAATCTTAGGTTCAAATACTTGTAAACAGAATCCAAGAACACCTCAAAAAGGTCATCCAACATGACCAGGTAGGCTTCATCTCAGAGATGCAGGGATGGTTCAACATATGAAAATCACTCAGTGTAATCCACCATATAAACAAACTGAAAGTAAAAAACAAAAACAAAAACAAAACAAAACAAAAAACACATGATCATCTTATTAGATCTGAGAAAACCTTTGACAAACACTCCTGCACGATAAAGGTCTTGGAGAGAACAGGGATACAAGGGACATAGCTAAACACAATAAAGGCAATATACAGCAAACTGATAACTGACATCAAATTAAATGGAGAGAAAGAAACTCAAAGACATTCCATTAAAATCAGGAACAAGACAAGGCTGTCCACTCTCTCTGTATCTATTCAATATTGTACTAAAAATTCTAGCTAGAGCAATAAGACAACAAAGGAGATCAAAGGGATACAAACAGGAAAGGAAGAAGTTGAACTTTTGCTATTTGCTGCTGATATGAAAGTATACATAAGTGACCCCAAAAGTTCTGCCTGGGAACTCCTACAGCTAATGAACACCTTTAGTGAAGTGGCTGCACACAAGATTAATTAAAAAAAGAATTATTATCCATCCTATACACAAATGGCAGACAAACTGAGAAAGTAAACAAGGGAACAACATCCTTCATAGTAACCATAAATCATATAACATTTTTGGGTAACTCTAATCAAGCAAATGAAAGATTTGTATAACAAAAACTTAAAGTATCTGAAGAAAGATATTGGAGAAGATATCAAAAGATGGAAAGATCTCCCATGCTCCTGGGTCTGTAGAATTAACATAGTAAAAATGGCCATCTTACTAAAAGCAAACTACAGATTTTATTTGAAGAGACTTAAACACAGAGATTTTGAAAAGTACTGAGCCATTATGCCTTCTATATCTTTCTTTTTTATTACATTTATTTATTCATTTCAGGTTTGTGCTCACTAGAGTGCTCCAATCCTGTGGAAGTCAGAGGGGAACTTGTGGTTGTCTATTCTCTCTTTCCATGTGGGACCCCACAGCTGAATTCAAGTTGTCAAACCCCATGGCAAGTGCTTTTTACTTACTGTGCCATCTCTCTGGCTTTTTTCATAGTTTTCTTTTTTTTAGAGGTATATTTAATTTTATTTTGTATGCATGAGTGTTTTACTTGCATTTATATTGTGTGTGCCTATTGTCCATGGAGGCCAGAGGACAAACATCATATCCCCTAGAACTGGAGTTTACAAATGGTAGGTGCTGGAAATTGAACCTAGGTCCTTTGGTAGAGCAGTACTCCATTTTTAAATTGGGTTGTTTGGTATTTGATGTTTAGTTTCTTGAGTTCTTTGTATATTTTGGAGATCAGCCCTCTGTCAGATGTGGGATTGGTGAAGATCTTTTCCTATTTTGTAGGGAGCCATTTTGTCCTATTTACCATGTCCTTTGCTTTACATCTCTTAACAAATGAGCTGTCACTCTAGACCTCCTATAGGTTTCTTGAACATACAGGTAATTAGGTATGTTGTAATAGTGGCATATCCAGACAATACTAATCGCAGAGTTTGATGTTTTTTTTAAAACAATTTAAAATTAAGATTTATTATCGGCTTTGTATTTGAGAATGCCCACCTTATAAATTAAAATAGATGGTCTTTGTACAAAAAGTACTGTTATCAACTATTTTTAGTATATAATTTAACACTCCACATTGTTTCAGATGTCACAAATGCATATTCATATAATTGGTATGGCATTTGCACCTCTGCAGAATTTTACATGTGACTCTGACCTGTGGCCTATGGAGCATGACTAAGAGAACATCACCTACCTGCCCCATTCTCTATATTTCAAGGAAATAATGACAGAAATAAGCTCCCAGGAACTCAAATTTGAATTCTATTTCTGGTCATTTTTAGCAAACTTTAATACTCAGAATGTGGGGCATAGATCTAAAAATAGAATTCTCAACAGAAGAAACTCAAATGGCCAAAAGATATTTAAGGAATTGATCAACAAGACCCTTAGCTATCAGGAAAATGCAAATCTAAACAACTCTGAGATACCATCTTATACCTATCACAATGGCTAAGATAAAAAACACCAATGACAACTTATGTTGGAGAGAGTGTGGAATAAGGGAAACACCCCTCCACTGCTGGTGAGAGTGCAAACTTGAACAGCCACTTTGGAAATCAGTATGGCTATTTCTCAGAAAATCAATTTACTTCAAGACCCAGTAATACCACTCTTGGGCATATACCCAAAGGATGCTCAATCATACCAGGAGAACACTTGCTCAGCTATGTTTATAGCAGCATTATTTGTAATTGCCAGAACCTGAAAACAACTTACATGGCCCTCAACCAAAGAATGAATAAAGAAAATATGGTACATTTACACAATGGAGTATTACTCGGTGGTTAAAAAACAAAACAAAAGAAAACAATGACATCATGAAATTTGCAAGCAAATGGATAAGTCAGACTCAGAAAGACAAACACAGTATGTATTCACTCATATGTGGATATTAGACATGAAGCAAAGGATAATCAGGCTACAATCCGCAGCCCCAGAGAAGCTATGTGAAAAAGGAGAACCCTAAGAAGTATCACCCTAGGAAAGGGAAATAGATGAGTTCTCCTGGGTAAGTGGGGATGGAGGAGGGTAGAGGGGAGGGGATGGGAACATGAGGTAATGTGATGGCTGAATTGGGGGAGGTGTGGAGGAGGAGAACAATAAAAGAGATATCTTGATAGAGGGGGCCATTATGGGGTTAGAGAGAAACATTTGCCAGGGAAACTCTCAGGAATTCTCAAGGATGACCCCAGCTAAGACTCATAGCAATAGTGGATAGGGTTCTTGAACTAGCCTTCTGACTGTCATCAGAGAGCCTTCATCCAGTAACTGATGGAAACAGATGCAGAGATGCACAGCCAAACCTGCCCTGAGCTCTGGGAGTCCAGTTGAAGAGAAGGAGGAGGGATTATAAAAGCAAGGATTGGGGGTTCAAGATTATTATAGGTATTCCACAGAGACAGCTGACCCAAACTAGACCTCATGGACTCTAGACTGACAGCTAGGGAGCTGGCATAGGCCTTCTGCATGTGGGTGACAGTTGTATAGTTTGGTCTGTTTGTGGGGCCCCTAGCAGTGGGACCAGGTTCTGTCCCTGGTGCATGAGCTTGTTTTTTGGAACTCATTTCCTATGGTGAGATGCCTTGCTCAGCCTTGATGCAGAAGGGAGGAACTTGGTCCTGCCTCAACTGTGTATTCCATGCTTTGTTGACTCCCATGGGAGGCCTTACCCTTTATGAAGAGTGGATTGGGGGTGGGGGATGCTTAGAAAGGATGTGGAGGGAGAGAATGGGAAAAGGGGAAACTGGTTGGTATGTAAAATAAATATAAAAATTTAATTAAAAAAAAAAAGCCTGTCTCTTAAACCCAGTGCTGCTGTTCAGAAAGGAAGTTCAGGGGAGGAAGGAGTCCACTAGCTATTTTTTTCCCAGTTACTTCTTCTTTGGACACCACAGTTCTACTCCTCCAAGCAGCTGTGTCTGGAATACATCAGGGTTAGGTAGTGTGGTCTAAAAAGCCACTCTAGGAGGCTGGGTCACACCCATGAAAGACAACAGCACAGGCTATAAGCCCAGGATCAGGGTCTGAAGAGAACGATCTCCAGCTGTTGGGTCAGCAGAGGAGTAGTAGCAACAGCTGGTGGTTATCTCCACTTAGTATCTGGCAGATGCTGTGCTGGACACATTACATATATTCCCCCAGTTCCTCTTGAGCAATGGTCTTCACCCTTCCCAATGTGGGACCCTCTAATGCAGGTCCTCATGTTGTGGTGATCCCAACCATAAACTGTTTTCTGTTGCTACTTCATAACTGTAAATTTGCTATTGTTACAAATCATAATGTAAGTAAATGTGTGTGTTTTCTGGTAGTCTTAGGCAACCCCTATGAAAGAGTCATTCAGCCCCAAAAGGATTGTAACCCACTGGTTGAGAATGGCTGTACTAGAGGCAGATATTATTGTCATCTTCATTTAATGGATTGGGAAAGAAAACCAGTTATACAATTTATCTGAGATGCTGTTGGCCTGGACAGGAACAGGGACATGCATAGCATCAAAGTTCCATCTTACTTTCTCCGTTGCCTTCCTTTCTGATGCCATCATAGTCTCTACACATCTTTGCCTAGAGTAACTTTCAGACAATGACCTGTATGCATCTCACTCACCACAGTAGAATCCTGATATAGTTCTTCCAGCAATGATGAGGATATGTGACGGCCCTAATTTGGAACACCCCATCAAGAGAGCTCCAGTCAAGGAGAGACTGTTTGCTGCCAACATGGCTTTGATCCTGAGAATTTAAAAACAATTTCATATTCAGCACCAAAATGTGAGGACATTACTTGTTTTCAGACCATGTTGAGCCTTTTACCTACAAATAATTATTTTTAGCTTTACTGAAAAGCTAGCTTGGGATTCTTTGAAGCATGCGTGCTTCTTCCTGATCTGTGAGCAAGATATATGAGCAGTGAGCACTAGCCATGATGTGCTTTCATCTACCTGACTCTTGTTTTCATAGAGACAATTCCTTCATTTTGCTTTGGTTTTGTGTCTTGGAGATGTGGTTCTAGCTAACTGGACCTTATTCTTAGCCCAGGCTATCCTTGAACTCTCAAAGACCTCTTACCTCAGCTTCCAGAGTCCTGAGATTATAGGCATGAACAACCATGCCAGGCTATGTGGTTTGGTTTAAGGTGACACTTTTGATACTTACTAAGTTATTTGGTTTTTCTACAATTTGTTTGTTTTAAAGAACACTGTTTTGGTGACTGGAAAACTGATTTTGTAATTGCTACCCATCTTTTGTCTCTTTATTGTTTTGCTGATAGTAAAGATTTTTAATTGCTGCTTTGAAGTCAACTTTCATGGACATTTTTTGGAAGTAGATGAAAAAATTTCTTTAAAGTTTGTCATAATTATATTACCCTTATTTTCACACAAAGCCAGAATATTTATTTGTAAAATCTATGTATTTTACAAAATTTAAAGAATTCCATTATTTTTTGAGATAGGATCTTATTCCAGAGTCTAGGCTGGTACAGAATTCACTCTGTGGCCTAACCTGGCCTTGAACTTGCATTAATTCTTCTGTCTTAGCCTCTTGAGTGTTAGAAGTATAGGCATGATCCATCATATCCACCGTTTGTAAAGTACATTTTGAAGCTGGCAATAGCAATACAATATCACTAACAAAAGTGGTCATGTGGAAATCACACATATGCTTTCTTGAAAATTAAGTAAAATATAGTAAGATAAGAGTTGCCATGGTTATTGTATCTCTTCACATAAATAGAAAAGTGGCCTATGAGTGACTATTGGTGAAAGTGTAGAGAAGATAAGCTGTGTGTGCTCCCAAGGTAGGAGTTGGAGATGTGACCCATACCACTTCTTGGAGGAGCCCAGAAGATGGTGAGTGAGTCCCAGACATTAGACATGGAGTTATTTATACAGTTGGAGTTTGCTTTTGCTTTGTTCAGATTGTGATTCTGTCCTGGTTCTTCCATCTTGAAGTAAGGAAGTATTTATCTTAATTTTGATTTTTTTTACAGGAGCCCACAGTTGAGAGATTTCAAACTTTTAAAAGAGATTTTGGAGTTTTAAAGAGATTGATATATTAAAGGGACTGAATTTTTATGTGTTTGAATTTGTAAAAACTATAGATCTTTTAAAGATGAGAATTGGACATGGGCAAGTAATAGGGGGTTAGTATTAATTGGAGAGGACAAGGCAGGGATTTGCACCCCCCCCCAGAGCTTCCAGAAGGAATCTGCCCTGCTAACATCTTGGCTCTAGTCAAGGATAATGAATGTTATGAGTTTGACCTCCAAAATTGAAATGAAATTAATTTTTGTTGTTTGGGTTACCAGCCTGGTGATAATTCACCACAGTGGCAAGAGGATGTAAGGAAATCATGGGCTACCTTAGTGTTCTAGTGCTGGTTGGCCCTGGGGCTGTGAAGAGACCCAGTTAGAGGGTGACTCTCTGCTCAGACTTCGAGGGAATGCTTTTTCTCTTTTCAAGGATGGAGGATGCACAAAGCTAATAGCTTACCCTAAGAAGTTGTTACAAACTGATAGTCTATTCTATCTGACAGATGACAGTAGAAGATTGGGCCAGCGAGCAGCCAGTCCTAGTGGAACCCTCTCTAAGGGTCTACAGACCTACAGATGCTTGCTGGAAGAAGGAGAGAGATGCTCCTCAGTAGTATAACAACTGCTAGGTTTTCCAGGCTCTCAAAAACAACCCCTCTTCCATGCTTGTATAAATTATTAATTAAACTCGTTGGTTCACTAAGAAAGAAAAGAACAAGGGAAAGGAATAGGGATGAAAGCATAAGGGGTCACTAGTCAGCAAGGGGGAGGGGATTTGAGGGTGTGAAGGCAAGAGATTGAAGATACTGGGGTGTAAATATGATAAAATACTTAATGTATATGTATGCTAATATTATAATGAAACACATTACTAGGTATAATTAATACATGACTAAAACCTTAAATAATTGAAAGTTATTTAGTAGCCAGGTGTGGCTACATTTTCTTAATTCCAGTAGTTGGGAGGCAGAGGTAGGCAGACCTCTGTGAGATCACACAGAAAACTAGTAGTTTTCTTAACTAAGGATATTACAATAACCTGAACTTTATTGTGTACTTGAAAAGTAGTTTCCTTCATGAATAGTCAGTTTCTACATTTTTACTGTTTTCTTTGGTGTTTTATACAATTTAACTAGAAGAAAGTATCAGAATTTTAATAATTAGTGAGTTCAAAGCTATAATTTATATTAGGAAATAGAAAGATAAAATGAATTAAATCCAGCATTATGAAACTAATTACCAAATTGTCTCTTTCTCTTTCAAAAAACATTTTTTTGTATTTCCTAAATAAAAGGTAATTAACACAGAAAATTGAATTCAATTAAAAAGAAAATCAATGTAAAAAATAATAACTTACTGTCTTAACTTATCAGAAGCCTTAACTTTAGTACATCCATTAGCAAATGTGTGAAGGAAATGACTCCACCCATGCATTCTTTAAAATCTGTTTTATAGTTTGAGTATATGTATGTGTCTTGAGGGTGGGTATGTGCACCCATGCATTCTTTAAAATCTGTTTTATAGTTTGAGTGTATGTATGTGCGTCTTGAGGGTGGATATGTGCACCCATGCATTCTTTAAAATCTGTTTTAAAGTTTGAGTGTGTGTATATGTGTCTTGAGGGTGGGTATGTGAAAAAGTGAGCATAGGTGCTCTGGGTGGTCTTGAATGTGAATTGGGTCACCTGTTGCTAGAGTTACAGGTAGAGGGGGACCTGGGAACCAAATCCAGGCCTACTGCAAGCACAGCATTGCCTTTTACCCACTGAGCCATTCCTCTCCTCAGGACACAGGTGTTTTTAATCCAAAGCATGGACTAGGAACTGGGACTGTGAAGCTCTTCCCTAGTGTCATCTCTGGTTGGGGCTTTGAGAATGTAGCCCGAGTGTCAGCAGAAAGTGGTGTGACGACTTGTCAGGATATGAGGCTGACCATAGGATTTGATTTATATGAGTGCCAAATTGTAACTTAAAAGTGAAAACAGTGTTTGAGAATTGGTTTAATTTGGTTCCTCACAGGTTTCAAAACTTACAAAACTGGAGGATCAAAGTCTCTAGAAATACACATGGAATTCACTTTTTTTTCTGCAAATACTTCCACAGTGACCAGGATTTACCCAACGATTGCAACAATGTTTTCTATTGATTTGGCCTAACCATGACCTTGCTCACAGAGCCTAAGTAGAAAAACAAAGTTAACACTACCCCACAAATAAGAAGAAGGTATCTCTCTATAAAAAGCAATAACAAAATATCAAGGCTGTGTTTATATTTACATATTAAACTCACCTTCCAAACTTGTCCCCTAGCCACCCACCAAAGAATGAGGCGACCATTCCGCCCACTGCGAAGCTGGACACAGACAGAGACCAGAGCACAGTGATGAGTTGAGCAGATCCTGCAGCCTCTCTGTCAGTCTGGGGGGCTGGCGTGATTATGAATGGGCTGTTCGTGCTGTTGACACCATAGTTACTGGTACCTCTTCGGTCATCCAACTCAACACCCAAAATATGTTGATAATGGGATATTATTACCTGAGAAAATAGGGAGAGACATCCGTGACTTCAAAATTGCACATACAGCTTTTGATTTCCCTTTGAATGTTTGTTGGGTGCTTAAACAGGGCAGCCTAATTGTGTGAGCTGTGCAATACAGATATGGGTGGACTGATTTACAGTTGGTCATGTCCTGTAAAAGAGAGATGATGGACACAGGCAATGGGAGTACGGTGGTAAGAGACACCTGAGAGAAGTGTGGAGTACTCGGGAAGGGCATGCTGAAGTTCACTTTGCCCTAGCAGGGCAATGACTGCAGGTGCGTGGCTTTGTGGCATGGCAGCATCTATCCCAGATGAGCAAAGAGGTTGCGAAGGAAAAGCTAATCAATGGGTACCCTTTGCTTTTTTAATATCTGCCAGAGATCTTGGCTTTTATGAAGAGCTTTCCAATTTTTAAATGGTGACAACTACTTAGGTTTGAAGACCATCTTCAGGTAGAGAAGACAGATTTTTATATGACTGTTAGTCTTGCACAAAGGATTTAATAGTAACATAAAAGGAAGAAATAGCTACTGGTAAAGTTCTGAGTAAAAACTAAAGTTAGAACTATAAAAAATGTTAGCACCTGGTGTTATATCCTTGGCAGAAATAAGCTATAAGCTTTGTCTTAGACTTCCTAACAATTCACGCAAATAGACCCAAGTGGACAGGTCTAATGTTGATGTATTTTCAAGATAAAAACAATTTTGATAGAACTGAGAAAGTATGAAGACTTCTCCTATGGGTCATAAGAGAGGTCCATATATCTCAAAAGGAATAGTCCTCAATGCTAAATTTCTAGCCACATTTTATATGGTGTTTCTGTGGCCATGAAGATGCATCCTGTAGCTTTCCCTCCTCCACACCATTCTTCTCAGAGTCTATTGATCATTGTTCCGCCCCAATCAGTTGGTCAGTTCCTCTCCAACAAGCACCTGACCACAGCTGCTCACTTTTTCTGGTTATGAATAAAGTTCACAGGCAGATTTGGCATCCACTATGCACAGTCTGTCCCATAGGTGGCTGTCCTATAGTGATAGTATGCATGGAGAAAGGCAGAAAGGAATTATACAAAATGGCCTTAGCAGTTTGATATATGAAATAGAAATAATTGCAGGTGATTTCATCTTCTTTTTTCTGCAATGGGCAAGTATAATTGTTATGCTAATGAAAAATCGCAATTTAAAAATATCTTCAACTGTTATTCAACCAGTAGAAAATGCCGGAAGGGGTCTATGTTTCCAGTTTGGGGCTTTAGATTGAACGAAGGGGACCTCAGTCTACCATTCTGATAAGACTAAAGGATGGCTTGAATGGGGATGTAGAAAGGACATCCAGAAAGGAAGGATTTCTAGTTTGGCTTGGATCTTAGGAGGCTTAACTATCAGCATAATCATTCATTGTCCATAGAAAAACATCTAAGTCTGGCCTCCTGCCCCTTCCCCCCCAGCATTATTCCCTGGAAGCCAGAACAAGAGCCATGACATGCTAAGGATGGTGTATACTTAATGAAAAATCATCTTTCAGCCCTAGGAGTTGAGGAGCAGTCCTTGTTAGACAGTGGTCTACACACAAGTGTTGATACCCTGTGGTGCCTTACATGTGTCTTAGAACTTTAAGAAAAGCAGATAAAAGGATGAAATGTGGTAGATGTACTTACAGCACCCACACCCTTTCCTTATTGCATTTCTTCCCGAGGTGTATTCACTCCCAGTCAGAGTTGGAGCACAAGCACATGGTTCGTGGGTCGTGGGTCGCGGTCCCCTAGCTAGGGGCTGTAACATCTGGGAAGAGTGAGACCTCCCTCCCTGAGGTCTCACTGCATATGGCAGAGCACAGATACACAGAACGCATTCAGAAATGGTTGGGATTCTCCAATATGTTTCCTCACAGAGGATCATGAACTTTCTCCATCACAATGGAGACAACCCAAACTTTTTTTTAACCTCCTGACCATTTGTATTATTTGGTTCTGAAGGCCTATAGGAGACAGGGAAAGGGAAGGACAGCTATCTTCTTAGTGTTTCTCATCTGCCATGGAAATAAGTCTAAGGTTGGGGTGATCTGGGTGTGGAAGGCCTGATGCAAATAGACAGGTGCTCATGACTGTGCAGTGAAGGGAACATGTACTTCTGTTGTCCCCTTGTTCCCTGGCATTTTTCATTTGTGCTTGGGTGACAGCTATGACTGAATGCTGCAAGGAATTCTTGCCTTTAGACCTCTTGAGCAGGAGGTATTGAGTTAGCATTTCCTCTGAGCTCAGAGAACAGCAGTGTCAGAGATAAAAAAGTTATGCACTGCTCTTTTTGACTCAGAGGGTTGTTAACCCAGGATCAAGGCCAAATTATCAGCTGCGAACCAATGCACATTGTACTCAGCTGGCCAGGCTCACCCCATGTCTCTCACGTGGACAGTTTATCTTCGTGTGTGAAGAACATATGATACTCTGGGCAGGAAGAAACAATAGGGCTTGCCCTAAAAGAACTGTGTGTGTGTTTCACTTGCCTCTTGAGGTGCATTGATCACTCCGATGTCATATCCAAACTGGAAGGAACCCAGCACAGCAGTGAAGACAGTGAAAGCCAAAGCTCCAGTGATCTGAGGATGAAAAACAAAGCCGGGAAGCAGTGGCTTCTGCCACCTGAACTCCCATCTCTGCCACATAGACTCCAACAGTCTCTGCTTCTTTCCCTCCCACAGCCAATCACAGTAGCCCCATGCTCGACAGGGCAGGTGTTATTCTAGGAGAATGTGAAAGTTGTTCACCATTTTCTTATATTGCTAAAGCTGAAAGAAAAATAAATGGCAGGACAGATTTTCTAGGATGCAAACCTAACATTTTCTTCGTGTCTTAAACACACACACACACACACACACACACACACACACACACACACACACACACAGAGGACAGAGAAGGAAAGGGGACAGAGAGGAGAGGTAGAAGCCATAGGCCTGGCAGGTTTTGAACTCTGTTTTGTAGCAGAGGCTGATGTTGAACATCTGCTCTCTAACCTCACCTCCAGAGAGCTGGAATTAATAGGCCTGCACCACCATACCCTGCTTGTGGGCTGCTAGGCGCAAGTCTGCGGCTTTCTTCATGTTAGGCAAACACTTCCCCGACTGAGTTTAGTTGCCAGCCTCACATTAATTTTTTTTTTCAAGATTCAAAGTCAGAACTGAGAATTAGAATTGCTGCTAAATGGAAAAAAGAATCTGCCAGCACAGAACAGTCCTATGGTAGAGATGGGGCCTTTCTAGACACTCCCACTCTACAGAAACGCCCAGCATCTGCTTCAGAGTCATCCTGTTTATCATGATCTGTGCCAGAATCCAGGCAAAAGTACTTTGCAGGATTTGCATGAGTCTGAGCATAGAGTTGTGAGTTAGGCTCCATTGCTTTCTCTCCAATGTGAGGAAGTTACCCTAAAACTGCGGAGCAATCAACTCATAGTTAACTACTCATCCAGTCAGCTGACAGGAGTCATGCATACAGACTCACAGGTCAGGCTACCTACATCAGCAGCTTGCAGAAAGAACTGTCATTCAACAGGATGGCCAAACAGATTCAGTGGTGTCAAAATACACATCATATACATACAAATGCTATGCAGCAACTTGAAAGATTAATGTGACCAAATCTATTGGCTTTTGATGTTTGCTTTTGTTTAGAGACAGGGTCTTACTTTGTAACCCTGGATAGCCGGAAACACATAAAGTAGACAGGGCTGGCCTCAAACTCACAGAGATCCTCCTGCCTCTGCCTCCAGAATGCTGGAATTACAGTGAGCCATTATACCCAGCTTGGCTTGGTTTTACCCAGTAAATGAAATTGTAAACCTTACTGAGTGATTCGTCACACAATTGATTCATTGATGTTTTATAGTGCTAGGACTCAGGCCTGGTTCCTTCTGCATGCTTGGAAAACTCTGCCTGCATGCTATACAGCTTTAGCTCACTAAATGCTTTGAAAAGGACTTACACATAAATATTATTTGACTTGTGCATAAAATGTTTCATTGAAGAATAAATAAAAAAGTGACTCTTTCATGAGGCTGGAGAAATAGAGGTAAAAGGAATAAAATTTAAAATTTATACTATTAGGTATTTTATAGGGAAATATGTTTGTCATCATATAATTTAAAATTTCAACCAAGTAGCACAGAACATAGCAGGTGTTTTGCTGGGTGAATGGATGAGTCACATGGATTTTTGTTTCCTTAGTTTTTCTTCCTTCCTATCTTTCTTCCTTCCTTCCTTTTGTTTCTCCACCTTAAGCGCCTCTGCCTATTTCCCTTATAGCATCTTCATCTTTGGTTTTTGTCTGAATTGTAAGATTGTAAATCTCTGCACCCCAGTATAAAGAAAACTAATTATCAGTACCCAGATTCTGTACTAAAATTTCAGCTCAGTATAACCATTAACAAAGTATCATGGGACCTTTGTAGGAAACCTAGAAGTTCTTTAGTCCACTGACTCTGAAACAAGACTGTTCTGGGGCACACACACACACACACACACACACACACACACACACACACACACACACACACACCCCAAATGTATACAATTTAAACTTAATACAGAAGTAGTTGAACCTTAACATGAAATAAATTGGGGTATTTATTTTGTGGCTTCGATGTCATATGTCATCTATCGGCATAGTCATGAAAGTCAGAAAACAGAAAGGGGGCCTAGATGTCCTCTAGTATCCCTGTGCCTCAGTTTCTTTACCTTTGAAATGGTCATAAACAACAGGTGATGGGTGGATTATGAGACTGACAGGCCATGGCTGAGCTCAGGAGGTGCCTTGGACAGGATTATTGTAAAAGTGAAGATAGGAAATGTGGTCTCCTTTAGCAGAGGGCATACAACAAATGCCTTTTTACTAGATCACTATCATCTCACAGATTGATCTTATGAAGCAACGATCTATCAACTTTTCATACATCATTAATAATTCCCCAAAGGGCATGAAGAGCAGGCAGGATGGCCTCTACCCTGTGGCTGAGGAAGTCATGCTCAAGGCAGGTTAAGAGGGATAAGTAAGCCTGGCCATAGCTATTCTGCGGCATATGGAACATTTAAACTTCCACTGCTAAATAAAAGAGCAGATTTTCCAGCACCAACTTATGTACTGGGAAGGGGGAAATGTTTGATTTGCCTCCACATGCTTCCAAAGCCAAGCCTTCCCTTTGCTTATCAGTGATCACCCAGCTAACTCTCACCACATTTATTTCTTAATGTATATTGTTTTGACCAAACCGCTTAAAAAATAACCTGTCACCTCACTCCCGGTGACTTCCACAGGTACTTTCCTTAAGAACAAAGACATTTCCCATCTGATTGCGATACTGTCACACCCAGGAATACAACACTAAGTGTGCTAATAATCAGCTAAGAGTCAGCACAAAGCCAGATTCTCCAGAGTGCACTCCATCAAGTCTTTCCTTCTTACTCTGGTCTGAGGTAACCTGCAACGCTGCTGCCAGTTCTCCATCTCTTAGTCCAGGACAGTCTCTCGCCTTTTGTCTTTTGTACATAGGCATTTTTTGAACATTGCAGATCCACTTTCCAGCTTAGATTCTGGTGAACTTGCCCTAGGTTTGGGCGTGCTATATTTCTCCAGTGGCAGGCTACAGCGGCACTTGGGAAAGTTATGCAGACTAATCAAAACCCAACAAAAACTATCCTTAAAACTCTGATTACTGAATAAGAACTTGGGTTTGCTTAGTAGCCAAATGGATTAGTAATTGACCAAGTGAAGAAACAGCTTGGATCTCTGCTTACTGCATCTATTGTCCCCAGCAGTTCCATCTGCTCGCTGACCTGAACGGATTCCCAATCTCCTCAAAGCCCAATTCAGAGGGACCCAAGCTTGCTTTACCTTGTCTTCCGACATTGTGTGTGGGGGAGTTGTCCTCTTAATCCTAGGTCCTGTACTGAAGGTGGATGAGTAGCTGACCAGCCAGAGTCCTCGGCTCTGCCTGGTTATACATTGTAGGAGGAGGAGCAAGCACCGGTGAATTCTAGTATTGATGGACTCCAATCAATATGCCCTTTACCTCGGTGACCTGTGGCTTGAGTGCCTCTGTTCGCTGGGAAAGAAGGTGAGAGGAGGCCTCGGAGGTGTAAGTGACAAACCAGAGGCAGGCACATGTTAAGGTCTGATAAGTCAAAGGACAGCCCATGCATGGGGTGTTCCGTAGAAGCCGAGGTAGGCCGTGCTGTGGGGAAGATAACAGCAGGAGTGTGGAGGGTGCCTTGTGGTTGCTCTTCGGAGAACTAGCCCTGTGCGGCCTGTGCTGTAGAGATGGGCTCTGTGGCTAAAGACGATGCAGACATCAGTTACCTGAATGAGGTTTGGAGGGATGTGTGCTGGGGTTTGAATCACAGTATTTTACTCAGGGTGACCTTAAGCAAGGGAGTCACTGTGACTTTTCTGTGTCTTAGGTTTATATTGTTGCTTGGTTTTTGACCTGATAAAAAAGAGATTAAAAAAAAAAAAAAAAAAAAAAAAAAAAAGCACACACACTTTGTTTTGTTTCAGGGGCTTAAGTGAGATAGCATTATATGTGTGGTAAATTCTCAATAGATGATGGCAACATACTTTCTATTGTTATTACTAATTTAGTATGTTTCACTATGTGATTGCAGAGTCAGATGTGGCACACATCTGTAGGACTGTGAGCTAGAGGCCCATTGGATTACATGAGAGTTGCTGGCTAGCCTTGGCTACACACAGAGCCCTAATTAATTGGTCTGAAAGCCTTGGGTTCTCAATGAACTCTGCTTATATGTCTCCAGCCTGTTACTTTCTAGGAATCCCCGATGACATCTGATCCAAAAATAGTGGAAGAGATAGCAAAGTTAGTTCAGCTTTCGTTGTGACTGGCAGCCGTGGTTATTGGCTTTCATCGAGGAACAACAGCAAAAGAATAGGAGCGCCAAGGTGTGGAGGAAACTGGATTCAATTTGCCTGCACTTTTTAAAATTTGCCTCTCCTCATTTCTCATTTCCACACTGCCCTTGTGTGTGTGTGTGTGTGTGTGTGTGTGTGTGTGTGTGTGTGTGTGTGTGCGCGCGCACGTGCAAGTATACTTCTCTGTGCAGAGATCAGGCATTGGTGTTGAGTGTCTTCCTCTATTACTCTCTATCTCTTATTTGAGACAGGACCTCAGAGAACCCGAAAGCTCTGTGTCTGGGCAAGGCTGATTGGTCAGTGAGCTCCTGGCAATCACCCAGATCCACTCCAGCGCAGGGTTATAGGCGCTGCTCCATCCTGCCTAGATGTTTAATGTACTTGGGGACTTGAACCCAGGCCCTCCTGCTTTGAGAAATGCTCTTACCCACTTCAGGCCCTCATTTCTGTGAGGTGCAAACACGTGAAGCACCTGATTTTATGAAGCAAGTAATTCAATTCAAAACCCAAACTCCAGGGGAACTCAGCACGCTGTATTCTCTAACATGCCACAGAAGAGACACAGCCACCGCTTGCCAGGGTTTTACACTCAAGTGTGGACACGACCTGCAGTGTCTCAGAAGGCAGGCACAGGAGTGCTGATAGCTGGACTGGAATCTTCAGGGTGCTCCTTTCCAAGACAATTGCTGCTCAGCACTTTGTAGGGCTTGGCTGGTTTAATCATCACAGAGTGCTCCAGGTGGTGGCGCTCTTCTTTGGCACCAGGCCTTACAGCCCCCCTTGATGTGCTGCCCGGCTGTCCTGTCCTCAGCACCACGGAGGAGCCTGCGAAGAGATAGATGACTTAGCAACAGTTTTCCGCTGTCTGGGCTTTGGCAACAGTTTCCTGCTGTCTCAGCTTTGCACAAAACACGCCTGCGCTGCTGTCGGGGAAGGTGAGCCGCTTTGGGTTGCTTTTCTTCCTTTGTCTTTAGAAATCTGCTTTGTAGTAACCGGCATTTGTCTTCTTTGCAGCTGTGGCTGGGAGTCCAGGACTACTGTGCTTCTCAGCCTGGTGCCCAAGGACGCTGCTCCTCCTCCATTGGAGACTCATTCAGCATCTGGGGTGGGGGGGTGGGCTAAAGCTATCTGCTGGTTGAGGATGGAAGGAGTATATTGCACAGGTTGATTTTAGCTGGTGAACTCAGGCCACAGACCTGCCTTATGAGGAGCTGCTAAAGGTATCTTCAGGGCGCTCGCTCGGAGGAGCTGTGGGCTCCTTTGGTAAAGTCTGCAAAGGAAACCTATCTGTTTGCACTTTGCCCTGTGATGACGTCTACTCACCCAGTGCCCATAATCACTCAGAGATTCCTGCTGCACTGCAAAAGCAGCCTTGCTTAGTTTCCGAGTGTCTCGGTGCCCCCATGCAGAGGTTTCAGGCAGGCACAACCAGTACTGGGTCCTGGGGATTGTGTTCAGGTCCTTATGTTTGCAGAGCAAATGCTGTTAACCACTAGGCAGTCTCCCTAGACCTGGCTTTATACTTTTAAACCTTTCAGGTTACATTCTGATTACATCATTAATTAAGAGAGGAAATGCCAAGAATTGTAAATGATGATCTCACCTCCCCCTCTCCCCTGTGTTATCTTTCCTTTTAGCAAAGTGAGAGGAGTTACTTTTTTGTTCTTGTTTTCTCTATAAATGAAAAGAGAACTCTGCTGCATTCCTCTCTGATAGAGTCAGGTGCAGGTAAGGACAAAAGCATGCCTGCAAACTTGGCCAAGCCAAGAGGGCAAGGTCTCATGGGAAGAACTCAGTCTTGAAGGCCAGGACCCTCTGCCTGGCCTCCCTGGCCTCTTGTCCTACAGCACTTTCCTGATGTGATGTGGAAGTCAAGATTGATTTTAAAAGTTAAATTATATCATGAAACCTGCTCACAAGTCCCCAGAGGTCTGCATCTCCTGCAAGCAGGGAACTCTTCCTCTGCTCCTTGGCCTGAGAAGTCCACTTGAAATAGGTCTGATGCTGAGGCTGTCTTTTTCTAATCTGGACTCAGCCATCTGCCTCAGATTTGCCTGTCACAGAACTGGGATGGCAGACAGCAGACATGGACATTCAGGTCCCTGTAGACCACGGGAGTGGGCTAGAATCCAGGTGAATGGCAGTGGGAAATCACCAGAGAGAACCGGCCTGGGAGTACTACGAGCCACTGTTTGTTTTCAGATAACTTCTGACGGCTGGGCATGGAGCTCAGTGGATAGAGTGCTTGCCTGATGTACACAGAGCTTTGGTTGGTTATGATCCCCAGCACCTCAGAGACTCTGACTGTGGTGCCACATACTTGTATCCCTGTGGTGGGAAGCAGAAGCAGGAGGATCAGGAATTCAAAGTCATCCTCAGCTGCTTAGGGAGTCCCAGATGACTTAGTATCCACAAAGCCCTGTCTCAGAAAACAACAACAACCCCCCAAATAAAACAAGGTATGAAGGGTGGATTGGATGGGAGCATCAGCAAAAAGGAGAGGCAAATTACAAGAGCACTGTGACCATGCATGCTTGCTTCTGGAAGCCAGAACTAATGGTAGCGGAGAAAGAGAAGTAACAAACTTAAGGTATGTTTTGGTGAACAAAGAAAATGCTATTTGTATTTAGATGCTTTTAAGAGAAGTGGGAATGGGAGATGACAGGTCACCTTCTTGCTTGCTAACCTGAGGTAATGGGCATCATTTATATTACAGGTGTTAGAGGTTTAATCTTCTGAGGAGTGATCCAGAGCTCCCTCCTGGACCCCATAAAATGAAGCAGATGCACTTTGCTCCCTTTTGTAAAGATTAAACTTTTTGAGGCATTCACTGGTCTACAGGCAGTTCTAACAGACAGCATGGAGAGACCACGTGCACTTTGCCCTTGTTTCCCTTATTACATTATGTAAGACTGTGGTTGTAGATCATGACCAGGTTATTAGTCTGAGTGGCCAAGGTACAGTTTGCCCCTGGCACCACAAGGATCCAAAACACCAAATAATCCAGTTAAAAAAATGGGGTACAGATCTAAATAGAGAATTCTCAACAAAAGAAACTCAAATGGCTGAAAGGCATTTAAGGAATTTCTCAACATCCTTAGCCATCAGAGAAATGCAAATCAAAACAACTCTGAGATACTATCTTATACCTATCACATTGGCTAAGATTAAAAAAAAAACAATAAACAAAAAAAACTAATGACAGCTTATGCTGGAGAGGATGTGGAGAAAGGGGAACTCTCCTCTATTGCTGGTGGGGGTGCAAACTTGTACAGCCACTTTGGAAATCAGTATGGTGATTTCTCAGAAAACTGGGAATCAATCTACCTCAAGACTCAGGAATACCACTCTTGTGCATATACCCAAACGATACACAGCCATACCAGAAAGACACTTGGTCAACTATATTCATAGCAGCATTATTTGTAATAGCCAGAAACTGGAAGCAAGCTAGATGCCCTTCAACTGAAGAATGGATAAAGAAAATGTGGTACATATACACAATGGCATACTGTTCAGGGTTAAAAAAAAATGGCATCTTTAAATTTTCAGGCAAATGGATGGAACTAGAAGAAACCATCCTGAGGGAGGTAACCCAGACACAGAGAGACAAACATAGTGAATATTAGACACAACCCCAGAGAAACTGGGAAACAAGGAGGACCCTAAGAGACATACACAGATCCCCCTTCCCCAGAAGGGGAAATAGACAAGATCTCCTGAATAAATTGGGAGCACGGGGAGAGGGGAGAGGGAGGTAGGAGATTGAAGAGGTAAGAAGGGTAGAGGGGAGGAGAACGTGAGGCTTCTGGAAGAGCAGAGAGGGAGAGAAAGGAAAGAGATACCTTGATAGAGGGAGTCATTATGGGGTTAACAAGAAACCTGGCACTAGGGAAACTCTGAGGAATCCACAAGGATAACCCTGACTAAGAATCTAAGCAATAGTGGAGAAATGCCCTTTCCCTATAATCAGATTGATGACTACCTTAATGTCATCCTAGAGCCTTCACCCAGTAACTGATTAAAACAGAAGGAGAGATCCACAGCTAAGGACTGGGCTGAACTCCTGGAGTCCAGTTGTAGAGAGGGAGGAGTGATGAGCAAAGGGGTGAAGATCATGTTGGGGAAACCCACAGAAACAGCTGACCTGAGCAAAGTGGG